CCTTGCACACGGCCCACCCGGGTTCGATCCCTGGCATCCCATATGGTCCCTCAAGCACCGCCAGGAGTAATTCCTGAGTGCAGAGCCAGAAATAACCCTTAAGCATCACTGGGTGTGACCCAAAAAGCAAAAAAAAAAAAAAAAGCTTCAAACATCTCCAGAAGGTTGAACTACCATCTTCATTATGGGTCATTAAGCTTATTTACAAGAAATAAGAAATTATTAGCAACTAGTCTTGTCCCCGTGGGAGTATCCATGATGGTATTTACAGACTAGATTATTAATAGCAATTCATCCATGACCAACAGAGCTATGAAGAAATGCTCTTTCTCTGGGAATAACTGGTAGTCGATGAATAACATTCTCTTCAGTAAACTGCTTATTTGTGCAATTTTCACATTTATATGAAATTCCAAATAAACCAAAATAGCTATGAGCAGATTAGAGAATTTTCCAGATTTTTAAATAAAATCATTTTGTAATATTTATGATGTAAAAAAATCTTACAAGTTGCTATTAAAAGAAACAGGAGATACAAAGAAATGGAAACATATTACTTGTTCATGGAAGAATTAACATTGTTAATATGATCATCCCACCGAAAGTACTGTACAGATTAAAGGCATTACTATCAAAATTCCCAAGGCAAGGTTGCAGTGATAGTACTGCAAGCTGGGCACTTTCCTTGCACATAGTCGACCCAGGTTCAGTCCCCAGCATATCATCTGGTCCCCCGAGTGATCCTTGGAGTAAGCCCTGAACAACACCACAGGGTATGACCCAAAATCTGAAACAAATAAAAGCCACTATGGCTTTAATTAGATCATAATTCATAAAATACATCAGGAAAACATAGGCAAAACTCTCCATGACATTGACCTCAAAGATGTTTTCAGTGATTGAGCTCCATTGGCAGAGGCAGGGGATAGAGAGCAGAGCTCATGCTCTGTATGCAAGTGGTCTGTCCTACATGGTTCCACCCCTCCCCACAAAAGCCAGAAAGCTAAACAAAAAAATAAGTAAGATTAAATAAAACTAAAAGACTTCTACTGACTGGAGCGATAGCACAGCGGGTAGGGCATTGCCTTGCATGCAGTTGATCCGGGTGACCCGGGCAACCCGGGTTCGATTCCTCTGCCCTTCTCAGAGAGCCCAGGAAGCTACCGAGAGTATCTCACCTGCACGGCAAAGCCTGGCAAGCTCCCCTTGACATATTTGATATGCCAAACACAGTAACAAGTCTCACACTGGAGACGTTACTGGGCCTGCTCAAGCAAATCGATGAACAACAGGAGGACAGGGACAGGACAGGGAAAAGACCTTCTACACTGCTTAACTTAAAATATATGCTACTGAATAGGAGAGAATAAGCTGACAGGCTGTTATCCGGAATATATAAAGAACTCAACAAATAACTTCAGGTGCTAGAGTGATAGTACTAAGTGAGTTAGGGTGCTTGCTTTGCATACAGCTGACCGGATTCAATCCCTGGCACCCCATATAGTCTCTGGAGTGATCCCTGAGTTGAGAGCCCAGAGTAAGTTTTAAGCACAGCTGGGCATGGCTCAAAAAACAAATAAATATTTTAATCAAAAATGGGAAAAACAGCTGAAAAGGCTCTTTTCTCAAAAAAGACGGCCAACAGACATATGAAAAAATGTTCAACATCACTAATTGTGAAGAAAATGCAAATTAAAGTAACAATGAGGTTACCAAACCCCAGTGAAAATGGCCTGTATCAAAAAAAAAAAATGCCAGAAGAAAATGCTGACAAGGGTATGGAAAAAAAAGAAATTAATTCACTATAGTGAGACTGATACCAAAAAATTCTCAAAAAAATTAAAAATAAGACTTGCATATGATTTAGTAATTCACTCCTTGACATCTATTCCCAAGAACACAAAAATATTAAGCAGAAAAGATATGCACGTCCATAGTCATGGAAGCATTGTTAACGACAGACAAGATATGGAAATAACTCCTGCCTAAAGATAAGTGGATAAACATGATGTGGTAGGATCAGAGATAGTACAACGGAGACAGTGTTTGCCCTACACACAGCCAACCTAGTCCAGGTTTAATCCCCAGCATCCCAAAGGGTCCCGAGCACGAGGAGTGATCCCTGAGTACAGAGCTGGGAGAAAGCCCTAAGCACTGCCAGATGTGGCCCAAAATTAAGAGGGAAAAAAGAATGTAAAAAAAATTGAGGATGGATAGATAGATAGATAGATAGATAGATAACAGAATACCTCTCAGCCATTAAAAATAGATGAAACCTTACCTTTTGCTGTATAGGAAAGATGAAACTGATGATGTTTTGTGCTAAACAAAGTAAGTTAGAAGAGCAAATATGGAACTGGCCGGGGCTGGAGTGATAGCACAGCGGGTAGGGCATTTGCCTTGCACGTGGCCAACCAGGGTTCAATTCCCAGCATCCCATATGGTCCCCCGAGCACCGCCAGGAGTGATTTTCTGAGTGCAGAGCCAGGAGTAACCCCTGAGCATCGCTAGGTGTGACCCCCCCCCAAAAATTTTTTAAAAAAAGGAACTGACCAATGAAAACAAAGCCCAAGATTCTGTCAGAAGAAGTGGACCAGCCACTGCGGGGAGGAAAAGTGGGAGGAGCAGCAGATGCGGGAACCATGGAGGAGGGATACAAGCACTTGGATGGTGAGTGTGGTGCAGTGGGACTGTATTCCTGAGACATAAATACTACTTAAATCACAATACCTCAATAAAAATATAATTTTTAAAATTTTAATAGGGAAAGTTTGTAGTTTCTTATGACAGAAGACAAAAATCACAGTATGCCAAAGCTTGAAGAAAAAACGTAAAGCAGGACCGGAAAGAGTCCAGTACAGTTATTTGCCTTACATACAGCTGACCCAGGTGTGAGCCCAGACACCGCGTATGGCCTCCAGAGCACTGCCAGGACTGATTCTGATGCAGAGTCAGGACTCAATCCCGAACACTGCTGGCTGTGCTCATCTACTCCCCCATATAAAAGCTTGTAGATGAAGCAAAGGCTGTTTTAAGAGGGACAGTTACATCAACAAATAGCTGTATTAAAAATGTATACATACCAAATAAGCTAAACTTTACAGCTACACTGTAGCACTGTCCTCTCGTTGTTCATCGATTTGCTCAGGCAGGCACCAATAATGTCTCCATTGTGAGACTTGTTATCACTGTTTTTGGCATATCGAAGACACCACAGGAAGCTTGCCAGGCTCTGCCGTGTGGGCGAGATACTCTCAGTAGCTTGCCAGGCTCTCAGGGACAGAGGAATCGAACCCAGGTCAGCCGCATGCAAGGCAAACAGCCTACCTGCTGTGCTGTTGCTCCAGCCCAAACTTTCTCTCTAAGAATGAGGCAAGAAATTAAATCTGAAGTTTTTAGAAATGATAAAAATTAGAGCAGAAATAAATGAAAATATAAGCTAGGGTAAAAGATCAGTGAAACAAACTGGTTTTTCATATATAAACAAAATTGATGAGCCATTAGCTAGTGATTTTCAGCCTTTTACATATGTGGTCCATGGCACTCTGACTGGAATATGGGGGGAAGCAACTCAGATGAAACTTCAGGGAAAAGAGGGAATATTATGCTTACATCACAGAAATACCAAGGATCATATGAAATCACTATGAACATTTATCTGCTACAAATTGGATAGCCTAGGAAAATGACAAACGTATAGGCTTCGTGAATAGGCCCATTTAAGATTTAGGGGCCAGAGCAACAGTACAGTGGGAGAACGTTTGCCTTGCACAGCATTCGACCTGGGTTAATCCTGGCATCCCATATGGTCCCTGAGCACTGCCAGTGGTAATTTCTGAGTGCACAGCCAGGAATAACCCCTGAGCATTGCCAGGTATGATCTAAAAAGAAAAAAAAAAGATTTAATCATGAAGAAATGGAAAATATGTGCAATGAATAAGAATTTGAGTTATGAAGATGTAGTATATATGGGCTGGACGATAGCACAGCAGGTAGGGCATTTGCCTTGCACGTAGCCAACATGGCCGACCCGAGTTCGATTCCTCCGCCCCTCTGGGAGAGCCCGGCAAGCTACCGAGAGTATCTCACCTGCACGGCAAAGCCTGGCAAGCTACCCATGATGTATTCGATATGCCAAACACAGTAACAAGTCTCACAATGTTACTGGGCCCGCTCGAGCAAATCGATGAACAACAGGAAGACAATGACAGTATGTATATGTATACATATGTATATATATATATGTATACATATAAACACACACACAATGGACTACTATGCAACTGCAAGGAATGATGAGATCATGCAATTTACTGCAACCTGGTTGGAACTGGAAGATAATCATGTTGAGTGGAGTAAGTCAGAAAAAGAAAGACAAACAGGCTGATCTCACTTACCTGTGGGATATAGGATACTGAGGAAATGCAGTGTAGTAAAGGGGGACGCCTAGATCACCCTTGACCCCAGTGTTTAGAGAGGAGGACAGAGAAGGAAAGAAACCAAGGGGGTTGGAGAGAACTGGAAGTAACTGGGTGAACAGGCACCAGGACGTCTGTTATAGCATCTGATCTGAAAATAAAAAGATAAATACCAGGGCCAGAGCAATAGTACAGCAGGTCGGATATCTGCCTTGAATGTGTCCAAATCAGTTTGATGCCTCTGAGCACAGAGCCAGGAGTAGCCCTGAGCACTGGTTGGTGTCGTCCAATCTGGGCCCTCCCAAAAAAGATAAAAAATCAGTAGTCAGAAGATGAAAGTAGTTTTTTCTAAGGAAGGGAAAACAGAGGGAAGAAGAAATCTGCCATTTTGTTTGGGTTTTGTGGAATCATGTCTAACATAGACATGTATGTAACTGAGCGAATAAAGAAACTTACACGGGTCCATCTCAAACCTGTCTCTGTCTGTCTCTGCCCACATCTCTCTAAATTTCTTTCAATATAAACTGTCTTGCTTCTCAAAAGAGATAAAAGAATTTTGTTGATAATGCCCTTCTCTTCTAGCGTTGAATACTGGTTCCGCTGCATGGATGTGGATGGAGATGGCGTCCTGTCCATGTATGAGCTGGAGTACTTCTATGAGGAGCAGTGTGAGCGCATGGAAGCCATGGGCATTGAGCCCTTGCCGTTCCATGATCTGCTGTGCCAGATGCTTGATTTGGTGAAGCCAGCCAGCGATGGTGAGATTTTAAGTAAAGAAAGGGGCATTTGCACTGTTCACATAGGTAACACAATGGAGAAGATGATCCTGGATTGTCTAAAAAAATGGACACTGGGGCTAGAGCGATAGCACAGTGGGTAGGGCTGCCTTGCATGTGGCCGACCTGGGTTCAATCCCCAGCATCCCATATGGTCCCCCAAGCACCGCCAGGAGTAATTCCTGATTGCAGAGCCATGAGTAATCCCTGAGCATTGCGGGGTGTGACCCAAAGAGGGGGGAAAAAAAGGACACTTTCAGAGTCCTCTGTAAAAAAAAACAGATTTTCAAAAAAACAGAAATGTTCAGGTGTTTCCTTTGCTAATAGTACAGACCCAGGAATCTGTGGGGAATCCTGTTGAAGAAACAGGACGTTGGAGGGTGGAGAGACAGCACAGGCATCAAGGCACTCGCCTTGCACACTACACACTCTACTTGGAATTGTGGCACAACCCCTAAGAACCACCGGGGGCCACTCCTGAGCTCAGAGCCAGAAAGAGCCCCTGAATGTCACCAGGTGCGACCCAAAACATCCACCTCACCCTCCTCACCCAACCCCAAAATGGGATTTGTAGAGAGAAAAAGCAGATTACCAGGGCCTGAGATGAGGGGAGAGGGTGGGAGGTGACAGTGTGAGAGGAAATGAGGAAGGATGGTTAGTTTCCTCTTTAGGTGATGAAAATATTAGGAACTCCATAGTGGTAATGACAGCATGACACTGTAGAAAGTAAAAGTCACTTAAAAGTGAATTTTATACCTTAATGCAATGAAATGTAGGTTCGGGGAGATGGTACAATGGAGAGGTAGTACAAAGGGTTTGATCCTCAGCAGCCCATGTGGTCCCCTGAGGCTCACTGGAGTGAGCCCTGAGCACCACCAGGGTTGGCTCCCAGACCAAAAAATACAATAAAATAAAACTTACCAAAGTAGAACTTGGAGGAAATTTATCGTATTTCTTCATTTATTTTGTAGGCAAAATAACTCTACGAGATTTGAAGAGATGCAGAATGGCTCACATCTTTTATGACACTTTCTTTAATTTGGAGAAATACTTAGACCATGAGCAGAGAGATCCCTTTGCAGTCCAGAAGGTACTTCTATGATTTTAACTTCTGTTTAAGGACTACAATATTCAAGGCTGGGTACTATAGGTAATGTGATATTTAAAGAGGTATGTTTAAAACATATCAAAAATAAAATAAAAACATGTCATCAGGGGCTGTTGGGGCTGGAGCAATAGCATAGCAGGTAGGGCGTTTGCCTTGCACACAGCCAATCCGGGTTCGATTTCCAGCATCCCGTATGGTCCCCTGAGCACCGCCAGGGGTGTTTCCTGAGTGCAGAACCACGTATAACCCCTGTGCATCGCCAGGTGTGACCCAAAAAACAAAAGAATAAAGTTTTGAAAAAAATTGTTCTAGTTTTAGAAAATATGTCAATGGGCATATCAGTATTAAAAAGTCGGGCTGAATTTAATTTACTATCTATTCATTTCCAGGTAGCATAGTAAAAAAGCTTTTCTCCATAATAAATAAATGTTCTCCATGACAGACAATCTTAAATAACATATTAATAACTTCTGTGCATGGCTAACTATTTGCAGTCAATCTACAGTCTACACTTGGGTAGAGAAAAGTACATTTACCATACACAAAAACCTACAGATTGGGGTAGGAGCCATAGTCCAGTGGGTAGCACACTTCCGTTGCATGCAGCTGGCCAGTGTTTTTAATTTTTAAGTTTTCACCTTTACACGAGAGATGGGTGTGTGATCAGAGCACTTGCCTTGCATGTACAGGAAATCAGTTTGAGCTGCAGCACTGCTGTGCCCACACACCACAGCGCTGGGCCCGACCTGAGTAGCACTGGGGGTGGCTTCCAGCCCTTTTGCTTTTCTTGGAAGCCCACATCCGCCCACAAATTAACGACTTTTTTTTTTCATTACTTACTTTTCCATCTCTTTATAAGAGAAGGTGGATATCAATAATTGTTTGATAGAGCTCTGTTCTGATCTGCAAAGAACATTATTACTCAGAAAGTGCTCAATAAATCCTAGACGGATTTGGAGACACTGATTATAAAGAGATGTCAATGAACAAAGGCATAAGGTGGCAGTGAAGCCTGATTTCTGGCTGTTTCTAGGAAGATGGACATGGTGTCTGAGCTCACTTTTAAATAATAAAAATTGTCCACGGGAGAGGAGGATAAAGAAAGATTCCTAGTCACAGCGCTAAGAATATAGATCTAAAGAACCTGACTGCCTAATACTTAGTTATAATTTGTGACCGCAGGTGTCACAAATTGGGGAAGGTTACTTTGACTTTTGCACCCCTTCTGAACATGTCAAGAAGAAACATCTTTCAGACAGGTTTCTGGCAGTGATACCCATGTTTGTGATGATTGAACTCCGCCCACTTGTGTTGACTCCGTGATCATCTTTCCTGCCAGGATGTTGAGAACGATGGGCCCGAGCCCTCCGACTGGGACAGGTTCGCCTCCGAGGAGTATGAGACGCTGGTTGCGGAGGAGTCTGCGCAAGCGCAGTTCCAGGAAGGGTGAGTGCGCTTCCCTGGGCGTCGCGGGCCTCTCACAGGAGCCACCAGCTCTGGATGGTAAAACTGCGGTAAAAAATTAGGCTGGCGTGGGTGGGGTGGGGTCCAGTACTAGAGCACTTCCAGGTTCAGTTCCCGACACCGCATGGTCCCCTGACTACCACTAGAAGTGACCCCAATTAATAAGCCAGCAGTAGTTCCCAAGCAGTTGCAAGATGTGACCAAAAAAAAAAAAATTTGTTTAAATTAATTAGGTTAGTGATATTCTGGTTTTGAATATCATTAAAATTGAGTGATTATCACCACTTTTAGTTGAGTACTTTTCTCAATAGTTCCCTAGGTCACAAATTTCCTGAAGTCTTTTTCTGCCTTATTCACTGTGAAAGAACTATACCTTTCACTGGAAACCGAGGTATCTGCAATCACACTACTTTGTAAACAATGTTAGTAAAGCTTTCAAATACAGCATGAGGGGCCAGAGCGATAGTACAGCAGGTAGGACGTTTCCCTTACACGCAGCTGACCCGGGTTGGATCCCCGGCATTCCCAAAATCACCACCAGGAGTAATTCCTGAGTGCAGAACCAGGAGTAGGCCCTGAGCATCGCCAGGTGTGACCCAGAAAGCCAATAAATAAATAAATCCAGGATGAAGCTAACAGAACTGAAGCTTTTTAAATGATAAATATGGTCATCTTTAATTATTTGTCCTGTATAGTTTCATGCATTAGCAGCAAATAACAGGATATAACTTCTTCATATAATTTATAATGAGATACAGCTCCATAAGGAAACCATTGTAAGAAGTTATTCAAGAGTTTCACTGCTTAGAACATTTCAGCTACTTTAGTTTCCATAATCATCCAGTGATTCCTTTGTCAGTTCCTCAATTTTTTGTCAGTGTTTCTCTAAGGCTCTCAAGTAATCTTTATTATCAATGTGATGCATTTTAAAACACAGTCATTAAAGAAACAAGGTACAGTAAAAATTTTCTTCTAGCCATGTTCTCCCCACAAGCAGTGTTACCACTTTCTTCTTAAGTTCCCTTCCAAAGATACTCCCCCCTTTCCACCTCCCTCCCATTCTCTCTCTCATCTGGATACCTACATGGCTATGAATAAGCAAATACCCACCATACACATACATTCTTTTCTATTTTCTTTTGGGGTTTTTTTGGAGGGTGGGGAGAGAATGCGGAGGGGCATGAATCTGACACTTGTATCTTATATCACTGAGCTCTATCTCCAGTTTATTTCTTTATTCTCTTTACACAAATAATAGTACAGTAGTATTGTTTGGTACCTTGCTTTTTTCACACTTACATATAAAGTTTGATATACAATATCAATACGTTCCAGAGATCTGCTGCAAAACATAGCACCTACATTTAAAAACATGATGTTGTATACTTTGTGTTAAGGATAGATCTCACATTGAGTGTTCTTACAAAAATCCACAGAATACAAGGAAAGTTTTGGAGGTGACTGATACATTTAGTACCTTAGTTGTAGTAATGTTATCAGAGATTGATATGCAAATGCCCCGACTTATTAAGATGTAGTCATTAAATGTGTACAACCTTTTATATATCAATTAATTCTCAATATTAAGATCAAAATAGTAAAAATAAAGACTGGAGACAAGGTAATGATGAACCAAACACTCATAGTTTATATCACTGAGGTATAAGTGAGGTTTCACCCTCTATTTGGGGGACCTTGAGGATATAAAAGTAATTTGTTGCTTGCAGGCCACATCCAAGCAGTGCTCGAGGACTGCTCCCAGTGTGTTCCGTAGGGGTCTCAGGGCACCGTGCAGTGGGGACTTATCCTGAGCCTCCTATACACAGCGTGCTCACTAGCCCTTTAAGCTATATTCCTGGCCCCTAGAGAAATTTTTTATTAAAAAAATAAATAATAAGGGATCAGGAGAAAATAAAAATCAGAGATTGTCCCATAGATTTATCTAATTAACATTCTGAATTTTTTTAGAGCCTCATATTATTCCACTGCACTGTAAATACAATATACAGGGAAAATTAATGTAACTGAAATAGGGACATAGAGGAGAGGAATAAATTTATTTGTAAGTTTATTAGCAGGACCTTAGCAGATATCCTTTAACGCTGATAAATCAAGTTGAAGGCTTGGGAATAAACATTTGAAAAGACATAATAACCATACTCTAAGTATTCTAATTCAGTCATAAAATACGCATATAGAAGAAAACTATAGACCACGCAGTATAAACTAAGAACAGAATTAGGTCATTGGATGGAACATACTCCTGGAGGGGATTGAACCAGAGCCTCACCATACCAGGATGCACCTGCCCTGCCCCAAGCCATATCCCCATGCAGGCACCATCTGATTTTCAAAGCAGAAGTCCCAAAATGAAGAAAAAAGAGAAGTTGAAACCTATAAATTTGCCAACATTGTCATTTTTTCTCTGAAAGTAGATAGAATACATCTGTGGTTTACTGTCCAGATCCTTTACAAAATAGGTATTAGACTACAGTCGCTCATGCCATATGAAAATAAGAACAACACTGTCCTTCCTAAAGTATGAAGAGGGACATGTACAGTTTCTGAAACACTGAAAGAAGAAACTAGGTGGGACCCAATTAAAGAGGAAACCAGCTCTTAGGTTTTGTGCTAAAGCATGCAGAAAATAACACTACAGAAAACAGGCGGAACACCAGGGCTGGGCCATACCCATGTTTAACTAAAAGCAAGAGCAGGGACGAGACCAGACGCAGAATCACCCGTATAGGTCACACCCTCAGGAGTGGAGAACTTTCTATCAAGGGTCATTTGGATATATAAAACGTCACTCAAGGGTGGCTGCAGGCAGGAGCATACTTTGCCATCGTGTAGCAGAATCAGGCCACATGACTTCTTGGGCCATGGCCCGACATTTCCATCCTCTGCGTTCCCATGGTCCAAACATTCCCAACCTCTACATTAAAGATAAAAGTGGTGAGTGTGGCAGCTAGTAAGCTCAGCCACTGAAATACCAACAGGCCAGCAGCCTGACCCTTTCATTCTCTGAAAACACTAGCAGCCCACCACGACCCTTCCTATGAATAAGCCAGTGCACACAGAGGCTGTAGTCTGATCTCAACTCCACAGTAAAACGGACACACCAATGCTCAGCAACTAGAAGCTTTACACTTGGAGACTCACCACAGTAAGAACAGGACATCAGTCTACCTGCTGTATTTAGGGAAACTGAGCAAGACTAGCCACATAGTTGGAAATGAAAAACAATATTTCAGTGAAAAATACAACTAGTGGACCGGAAGTAGAATGGACACAACTGAAAAGTTTTTGAATAAGATATTACTATGATATGAAGGTAAAAAAATCTTCACAGACAAGGCAGGGAAATAATAACCAATTAATTCTCAGAAGTTTAGCTGTTTATTGAAACCAGAGTATCCTTTGGAACAAGGATCAGAAATATTTTTCAGGCCAAGTAACATTTTAGGCTTTGCAGATTTCTATGACAACTGAGCTCTGCCATTATATTATGAAAGCAGCTTTTCATAAGAGGTGTGTAAATAACTATGTTCCAATAAAATTTTAATAACAGACACATGGGTATTAAATTTCTATCTTTGGCAAGACAGATTTGTTCCACACACTTCAGTTTTCCAATCCCTACACTAGAGTAATCTTGCAAAAAGAAAAAAAAAACAGCTGAAGATTTAGAAAGAAAAAACTGATTACCTACAAAGTTAACACATAGAGAAGTGGAGCATTATCACTGAAATACTGCCGAGAACTTTGAACAGAATTCTGTTTCTGTTTAAATGTGAGGGCCAAACAAAGACACTTCAGACAGTTTACAGACTATCTGAAAGAAAACTTACAGCACATTCTTCAACAAGGTAAATTAATCCTAAAGAAATTGGAAGATACAAAGCCATCGTAACAAAAATTAATAAAATTGATTCTTAAAACTGGCTAAGAATTGATTACAGATACTGTTAACATTAGACAGTAAATGGTCAGAAGAACATGTCATGCTTTTGTTTCTATAAAAAAGGAAACCGTAGATGATGCATTTATATGTCTCTAATAGTGGCTAGAGTTAGAGCACCTCTGTTAAAAATTTCATGTCACAGATTCCAAGCACCACAAATTTTTCTTTCAAGTCAGTATAAGAATGTATATAAAATATATAACTTTCACATCCTTTTTAGGAAAAGACATTAGATTGTTAACTAGGAAACAACTGAATAAAGAAAACAATGCTAACCCAGTATGCTAATCAGCATCCTTCACTTTACTGGAGAACCTACATTCAGCTCAAAGTAGCAAAGTGGAGGAAACATAAGCAAAAAAGGAAATTAGTTACAGGCATGTGGAGCAGAAAAGTTTGGTATATTACTGACTGTAGGAGTAGAATTTCTTCCATCTCTTAGGCATGCTTTTCTTTCACTCTTGGGCAAGATTTTACTAAGTAATCACCAAATAGTTGAGGGTTCAAGTAAAAGAAAAAAAATCTCTTGCCCTCAATTTCAAGTAGAAGCCCAGGATTTGGTTCTAATTGGCTTGGTTTGCATCTGATCCCCGAACCAACTCTTGATAGAGTTAGGCCATTCAAATTAATGTTTTCTCAAGGAAATTGGGGAACTTGAAGAATATGGCCTGGAAAAGAGGGAATGTTAACACCTATTCCACTAAGAAAGAAAAGAAAAAATGCTCTAAGTATTGCCAGGTGTATCCCTGGAGGCTCACAGTACCACTAAATGTGACCCGGGTGCCCCCAAGCACCACCATGTGTGGCTGGAGTGGTCCCCAATACTTGCAGACCACTCCCAATAGTGCAGGACTCGAGCAGTACTGTATGCTCAGGCCTTAAAATTCAACCATCCCATCTGGTTGCCCAAGAATTGCCAGGAAGTGCTGTATGCCTGAAACTCGATCATGAATAACTTTGTAAATTACAGTGCCTCAATTTAAGGGAGGGAAGGGAGGGGGAAGGAATCACCAACTGC